AAAAAAAAAAAAAAAAAAATTAAATTAAAATTTTTTTTTATACCAGATAAAATAAAAAAAAAAGTTTTTTTTTTTTTGTCATGATATAAAATCAATCACAAAATAATTAATAAAGGAATAAGGAATATATTTTTCTCTCTTTTTTTTTTCTTTTTGAAATCTTAAGAATAGGGAAGAATGCTTTTAAAAGGTAAATCTTAAAAAAAAATGAATAAAAAAAAGGAATTGTTGGTTCTTCTTTGTTTAAACTTTGTTAAATGAACCGTAGAGAGATTGAGAGGATACCATGAAAATTATCCCCTTATTATCTATAATTTCATTCCAATTTTATTTTTTTTTTTCCGAATCCCTTCTGGCACCCTCTCATTCTCTCGAAAACAAACATTACAAGTTGAAAACCAAGTTAATTATTTCACGTACACCAGTGGCAATGTTAACGGCCTTTACAACAATCCCATGATCATCATGATCTTGAGGAGGCTGATTTTCATTTTGCAACTTATTAGAAGGGGGCTGTGATATTATCCTTCCAGTATGATAATGTGTAGAATGTTCTAAACCAAAATTCAAAATCTCATCCACATCCACATCCACATCCAAATCTTCATCGTCATAAATCCAGGACGGTGGTGTTGACGAAGAAGTGGCAACAGTAGTGGTAGGGGCTGATGCGGCGGTGTTGGTAGATCCACTAGTCGAATTGGTAGTAGTTATTCGACGTTTGTTGTTTGAATATAATGAGGAATATTCATTGTTATGAATTCGATCTTCTTTTAGTTTTGTAGGAGCTAATTTGCATATTGTTGAACAGTCTTTTCTTTTCTTCTTTGAAGAAATTTTCATTTCAATCCCATCATCACTACTACTCTCTGGATCCGAAAAAGCATATTTATCATCAAGTTCTTCATCACTATCAACGGCGATGCATTGCTCAACGCGATCATTAAATTGAATTTTTCGATGATGTGAACTATCATTTTCGGTGGGCAATAAAACCGATTTTGTTGGTTCGGTTGTTGGCGTCGTTGGTCCAGATATTGACGAACAAGTCGAAGCGGTTTCACAATCGCTTAAATCCGCATCACCGTCTTGATCCCTCTTGTATAATTGAGTATCGGAATTGCTCGATACTAAAGAACCGTATCTTCCTTTAATGGTGGGGCACAGTATATCCGATATCGATTTTTTTTTCAAGCATGATTTGGTAGTAGAGGATTGCATGAGGTGAAGGTTATCTTCGGCGTGTAATTTTTGTGAATCGACATGACGATTTGGCGACCACGCGGTATGTAAAGGTCCATACAACCAAGTTACATCACTATCCTTGGACCTTATAAAAGTAAACGTCAAAAAAAAAAAAATCTATTAAGAGCTGTGGCGCAGGGACAAATGAACCATGGGTGGTTTTGATTCAATGACCGACTTACCAATTTAACTTTTCAGGATTCACGGTTTTAAGGTCATACTTTTGTTTTGCCCAAGTTCTCCAAGAGGCATTTTCGAGTCGAACCCCATTCGCAATCTCCTTCTTTTGTTTAGACATGACTTTCCAAGAAGTCCAAATGTCATCTTCCTTTTTCCAATCATGAGAGAGGTAATCAACGCAAATTTCGGGAGGATGTTGAATACCAGGAATGATACCACTTAAATTATCATCAGGGATCATGATTGTTGATTGCATTGAGCAACTCCTTTGATGAGATTGATATTCCTTGGTTGAAGTCGTTATTGTTGAATTCTTGATGGCAATGGCCATGGGCCGACTATTAGGTATTATTGAAGGCAGCTTGACAAAGTGAAGAAGCTGTTGTCGGATTATATTATATAATCTAACAACAAGGGATAATACGTGATTATAATAAAGTGAAGAATATTTATCGTTGCAAGAAATTTCGTTCGATACCTATGAGAAACATGAGGGGAGGAAAACCGATTAATAAACAAATTTGACGATTTTAACCAACAAAAAAGACAATATGACCATCGATTAAAGAAAATGAGGCTTACAAATTCATGCAAAACCCGAGGAGAGAATAAAACGTTTATTTTTTTGAATTATTTATTTTTTTTAAAAGGGGAACAAAGGTGTTTGTCCAAAGAAAAAAAATTTTATGGGAGAGTGAAATTATCGAGGCTTTTATGGGCTAATTTTAGAGTAAGAAATAGATTTTTTTGTGTATTAAAGAGTTTAGACCGGAATTTTATTTTATTTTATTTTTTTTTGTTTAAAAAGTTGTTCCAAGAAAAAAAGGATATTGTTGTAAAATAAAAAATTTCAAAGAGGAAAGAGATGTAAAAGAGGGTCAATTTATATACTAAATTTTTTTTTATTTTTTTTATTTTTTTTTTTTTTTTTTTTTTTTTTTATTATTATTTATTTTGTTTGAATATTGTCTTTTGATCTTTACAATAGGATATACAATATATATACAATATATATATATATTTGGATCAATTGGTGAGAAAAATGTATAGTGTATTACGCAAAGTAAAGTAAGACTTTTATTTATTAATTAGAAAACGTGTGTTATAATGAAACAAGATAAATAAAGATATGTAGATAAAAAAAAAAAAAAAAAAATTAAATTAAAATTTTTTTTTATACCAGATAAAATAAAAAAAAAAGTTTTTTTTTTTTTTTTTTTTTGGAATAGAAAGAATCTTTATTGTTGGTTTATCGTCCATATCAGGATTTTTGGTCAGCATTATATAATTTTTTTGTATTTATCATTATTATTTAATTCCTAGATACTATCTAACATATAGTATAATACTACGCCCAAGAACAGGAAAAAAAGAGATTTGTTTCGGGCTTATCACAAATAATCTTTGCAATTTCGGGTTTAGAATGTTGAGACCTCACGTATCCTGAACCATAAGGGAAAAAAAAAAAATATGATGTCGTCTTTTTTTAATTCATACATTTTTTTTTTTTTTTTTGATGAAGTAATGAAAAAAAAAAAAGGAGCGTTTTTCCTCCCAAACCAAAAAGATTTTTGTTTTTTTTTACTTCTCTTTTTGTTATTTCAAAAAGGGAGAATTCGGAAAAACCAACAAACATCTGTTACGGAGAATTATCGTGACTCTTTCAAAACGGTGTTTTTTTTGATTGGGAATAACGTACAGTATATTAAGCTGAAGGAAGTTACCCAAATGTAATACCATTGTCAACTCAATCAGTGTCCGAAATGACCCGATATAACAATTTATGACTAATCCTTCCTAAAACGTCCGAGATATAGAGATTCCGCAGCAAATTTAAACGGTATTAGGAATATAAAGCATCTCTTTTTTTTTGTCTTCAAAAAAAGATTGGAGGAGTTGTGGTGGCAAAATAGCCGAGTCAAATGTTCAATTCCCGTGAAATTATTGGCCGGTCATGTTTTTCATTGTATCACACCAACGTACCATTTAAAAGTCATTTTTCTCCTTCGCAGCAAAAAAAAATTTAAATTCAAAGGCCGAAAGCGCTTCGATTATGCACTTTATCAATTCGTAGATCAATGATAAGTTCACAACCTTTCGAAAAAAAAAACGATTGAACGAAAAAAGAAAAAAGAGCACGACTCTTTATCGGATATATCATGATAAAATACATACGGTATATCACTACCCCGCAGAAATTATCTCTTTATTTGGGGTATTAAATGGGTAAAATAACTAACTAAACCGAATTGTAATCGAATTTTGAGAAAGTGGGAAATGAATTTGGTTAGAAAAACAGGTAATTATTTGTGACACGGATCCACAACATGACTTGCCATAACCGAGAGTGGTATTTTTGGAACACATTCGGTTATAGAATCAATATGCATAAATAAAAAAAAGATTTCAATTTCCCATTGTAAAAGACAAAATTGAAAATAATTTTCAAATAAAACAGAGAACAATAGCGACCAAGATTTGTCAATTCCTTTCACGTTCACGTGATAATACATCTTTTAACAATCGTTATAGTCGTATTTTTTTTTTTTTTTTAAAAGTTTCAGTTTATAAAGAACCCTGATTGTTAATCAGCCATATCTATAAAAATTATATATAAATATTTGGGACGATTTCAAAGTTATTCTCGCGCTAAAACGCAGATAGTTTATCACATGTAAATCGAGCAATCAACTAACGTATCGAATTTCATTCCCCGAGTAATTCAAGATTAGCTACTCGTTTTTGATTACAAGTAATTTGGAAAAAAAAAAAGATCAAAAAAGAGAAAAAAGGGAATGCAATCTGAAAATCTCTTAAATACCCGATAACTTGGAATGATAACTTATCATCATTTTTGATTGGTTGACGAAAAGGAAAGTTCTTATCAACATACGGTAACTAGAATAACAAGTCCAAAAAAAATCCTTCCCGAAATGTAAATACGTCGATCGGAAAAAGCATTCCCAACCATCTGCGGCACAGCAAAATGATCGTCATCCCCTTCCTTCGTCTTTGTCATCATAGCTTAACCGACGCAAGGATCGTACGATCCATAACCAAAAGATCATGTCATATAAATATTTACATTTCACATGAAACCGTCGATTCTATGAAATTTGCTCGTTACCGAGTAAGAATCATGGCATACATTCTTGTGTCGCAAAAGAAATGAATGTGCGGCATCGTCTCAAAATATGGTGCGAGATATATTTACCTGAAACACGTTAGCGTCAAGGCTTGTTGTTTTTCTTTTGTGAGCATGTTTTACAAAAAAAGTAAGCAACCCATGGTACTTGACTTTGTAAAAAACCACACTAAGTTACGGTATCCATATTCTGGACCCTTAATAAGTTTCTTATTGTTGATGAATGTGTGAAACAAGTGTGAGAATAAATGCGCGGGTTTACCTTTTGAAAAAAAAAGATCCCACCAGTTCTCGAGTATTTTATTTAAGGATCCATTGTTCCTTCTGTGGATTGTATTTTCCATCCTAAAATTATTGATTATTATATTGCTTTATCACCTATATTAGTATACTAGTATTAGACCTTGGCAAAAAGCTAAAAAAAAAATAAAAATAAAAAATAGATCGAAATAGCTAGATGGAACAAACAAACAAACAGATTATATTTTTAAAGGAAAAAAAAAAAAGACTTGTAAACCAAATTTATTTGGCTACATTTGGCTAAATTGGGTAACGACATCCTTACATGCAATTGGGTGACACGGTAGTAAAAAAGTTTTAATGCCAATGCCCGATGCTAGTCCTATTATTGCTTAATTTTCATTCCTTGAAAAAACTACAATTTTTAATTTATTGTCATTTTGTCACCTACTTGTTATAGTTGGGTTGATTATACGGATGTGTTACGTAATCACGTATGGCGATTTATTAAATTATACACGTGGGATTTTTCAAGGAAAGAGTTCAATCAAAAAAAAAAAAAAATTTGTTATTGACGCGTTCTCCATTTGGTTTAGTAAAGGTTATTAAAAGACTTTTTTTTTGTTTCTTTTTTTTTTTTATTTTTTTTCGTTGTTTCAAACTTTGCATTTTTTTTTTTTTTTTTGGAAAAAAAAAAAGACGTTTATGAAAGATTTGAAATGGTATAGGCTGAAAAAAATTTTTTTCTTGTCGTGAGAAAATTGTAAAATTTCACAACGAAAATCAAAGCAGTGCGATCCCCACATAAATTGATTTTGCATAAACTCTGCATAACCGGAAAAAACGCCTTATCAAACTTATCAAAGAGAATTTCTTGAATTTATTGTTTTTTATCATGCTAATCAGTAAATAAGACATTGAACAAGGATTTTTTTTTTTTTCAAAAAAAAAAATTGTAGATTTCATTCGATAAGACATTTTTTTTTTGATTCAACCTTTTCTTTTTGACTAAAAGGAAAAAAAAAAAAAAAAAACTCTCACACACAAATAAAAACAAAGTTTTATGTCACCCTTTATCCTATTTATGTTCCTTTCTACTTTCCTTTCACATCTTTTTGTACGATTTGTAAAAATATTTAATTTATTCAAACAAACCTTATTAAATTAGATGTTCAATTATAAGCATAAAGATAAGAATAAGAATATATAAGTAACGTTTCTAAAAAAAAAAAAAAAAATAAAATAAATAAAATCATAAAAAGGTAAATTATTATTTATTTCTTTTATAAGAACCTGCATCGACAATCGATAAAGATAATGCTTGTTTTCATTGAATATAACTGCTCAAAGACATTTTTTTCCCCAAGAGATAAAGATAAACCATAATTGTATTCAATGAAACATATAAACAGCTAAATTTCTTTTTTTGTATTCCCGTTCCCTACATTTCTGCGCCACCCCCAGATTTTTGCTTTCGGGTATTTGTGAAAGGGAAAAAATTCTTTTATTAATGTAATAAAAAAAAAGAAAAAAAGTGATGGCGGGAATTTTTTTTTTTTTTTTTATTAATTCATTAATTAGTAAGTACACCTCACTTTCTTTTTTTTTAATAATATAAATGGAAAACATTTCATTCATTCATTTTGAGTCAAATATGATTCTTTATTGGGTAATTTGGCTTGATAATTTTGCGATACAATTTGCGTCGCACAAGAGAAAAGCGAATAAAAAAAACCAAAATGATTCACTCCGAGACAACCGCTATTCTATTGATCTTTTTGTTCAGCTCATTCACAAGTTTCGTTCTGATTACGCGTATGTTTTCCATTTTCGGAAACAATTATAAACGTTTTTTTTTTGAGGGGAATTAATGGTGTCATATATTCAACATTTTCTTTGTTACATTTTTTTCAACTAACGGATTATAATTAAAAACAATTTAAAACGGGAAAAAGTTATCTAACCCTTACGGAATGAATTCGCTATCAAACCCATCATCTCTCTGCACAATCAATGTTGTTCGTGTAACTTCGTATGTCGCACAAATTATGGACGTACAAATGATGTTCCCGTTTGATACTCTGTAATCAAAACTCAAAAAGCCTTTTTTTTTAATCATAATAATGCCTCCGAGATTTGGAGATCAAGCGACAACCGAGGTTCCTGAAGCAGATCAAATCCCATTTTCTCTTGAAAGACCATACCCAATCACTAACCTAAAACCCGTTAAAGTCCCTTTACCTTATTATGTTGATCGTGGAAAAATGATTCTTCGACCAGAAACCAGACGCTTTTGGAAATTTGCTAGTTGGTATGCAATAGCTTCTTGTGCAATTATTTGTAAAGTTTTTTTAAAGTTCTGTACTTCGTCAACTACTGTTTATAATAAAGAACCATTTTTAAAAGTTTTGATGGATCCTAATAGAACTCGTCCAATTTTAACTGGTAAATGAAAGTTTCTTTTTTAAAAACTTTAAATGAAATGAAAATGAAAAGAAATTGAAAAAAAAAAAATGAATTTCAATTCTTCTTTACCTTTATAAATAGTTGCAAATCATCTATCAACGTTTGTATTCCAAGATTAATACATATACACACATATATAATCTATTATATAGATCTTTTGTTAATTGATTTGTCGTTCTAATTAGAGTTGACGATCCGTTACTTTGGGGAAGTTTGCCATTTAGGGCCATCTTAAACCTTCAAAGGGTACGTTGGACACTTGGCGCTCAAGAGATATGTTTTAAAACCCCGTATGTTGAAAAAAATTCCCTTTTACTTCATTCAACTACATAAGGTTTGCTGACCTGTTTTTGCGTGTATTAGTACTCGTTCGCTATTTTTTGCTCTAGGCCAAGTTATTCCAACTGTTCGAGGTGCTGGAATTTATCAACCCGCAATGAATTTCGCAATAGAGAAATTGAATGAAGGCAAATGGGTAAGCATAAATTATTACTATTATTAATAATATTTTTTTTTTTGAAAAAAAAAAAAATAAATAAATTTAGATTAACATAGACAAAAAAAAAAAAATTCTTTCTTTGATGTCTTTACCTTCTTAGGTTCATATGTTCCCCGAAGGAAAAGTAAATCAAACTGTGGATATGTTGCGATTCAAATGGGGAATTGGTCGTCTAATGATGGAATCAACGAATTTACCCATCATGGTTCCTTTATGGCATAAGGGTAGGTAAACTTAAATAATTTCTTATCAAATAATTTTTTTTTTTTAAAAAAATAATTTTGTTCGTTTTTTAAAAGGTTTCGAAGAAATCATGCCAGAAAATAGAAATCATCCACGGTTTCCGATATTGGGTAAAAAAATTGTAATCGCTTATGGAAATCCTATAGATTTTAAAGATCTCCTGATTGATTATCATGAAGGGAAAGCTAATGAAGTGTTGACTCGAATAAGTATTACAGATACAATCTTCCGTGCAATGGATGAATTACAGAAAAATGTTGAAGCTAGAAAATTAAATGACTAATTATTAAAGGAGCATAAAATTTGCATTTGTACAAAGAACATTTAGATTATTATCATGTAATTTTTTTCGTTGTAGAAAAAATAATTCTTATTATTATTATTTTTTTTTATTCATCTTAAAACAATCATTTGACATTGATACATAATTATCGTGCCATTAATGTTATTATCTAAATAACGGGCTTCATCATCAAAACTTCACAATAAAATCTGGAAATATAAATAATATTACCCAATCACTTTCATCACATTAGAAGAGAATCAGTATAAATAAATCTTTCAAAATTTCAAATAAAGAAATTTGAACTTCCTGAATAAATTAAATCTTCATTCTTTTTCTAAATGACAAAAGGAGATTGTTCTCAAATTCCAATAAGGAACTCAAAAGAAAACCCCCTTCGTATTTAGAAAAAACAATTAAGATCAGGAAAATAACATCATGTTCCCTTCTAAGAAAAAACACAAAGAATCTCATTCCAATATTCATTGATTCTTTATAAAGAATATTTTTAGAATATTTATCATCACGCAATTTAATTTTCATCAAAGAAAATAAAATCATCAAACTAAGATCAAGTTGTGTATAGTTTTGAAAAAAAAAAAAAAGATCGTAATTGGAGGTGGTTTATATTTGGTTGGTTGTAACACAATTGTTTGAAATAATTCCCCCCGAAGATTTCGTAACCCAAAATAGGAAAGGAATGAATTATTCGATAAATGTGATGGTTTAATCCTCATTATTTTAAAACAGATTTTCGTATCATTAAAAATAAATGTTGTTGTTATTTCATATTTTTATAAAATTATGTGATTATAATATTATATATATATAAAGTAATTTATATAATCTATATCTTATTTTTTTTTTGTTTCGACATAAATGGCGATGCTATTTATATTAAACCCGGAAGCAAATTTTGGGGCAAACTTGACAGGATAATAGAAAATTCACAGAATTTACAATGCGTTGCTGAAATTCAATCGTCTATACTTGTAATTTCTGCAGAGCTTTGAGTTTAACCTCCCTTTCTTTCAACACAAGATCACGTTCTTTCAAATCAAGAGCTCTTTCCTATTATCAAATTGAATTAATTTATTAATATAAATTTAAGAATTTAAGACGTTAATAAATAGATAAAAGTATATACACTAAATCATCAAGCTCTGTGGATGTTTTCACCCTTTTGGACGTTTGTTGCTTCTGCTTGATTTGTTCATCTGAACTCTTGTTTTTACACTTTTTTTGCGGCTTGTATATTTTTTATAGCTTCGGAAGATCTTTCCAAGGTATATAATCAATTTCTCCTCCAAAAAAGATAGACCTTAACAAACCAACACAAAAAACCTTGTACGGTAAGTAGATAGTAGAGTTATCAGAGATTCTGATTCGGCTAAAACTTACATTGTACGGTAGGAAGATAACAGAAAGACTCTATCGAAAAAAAAACACTTACTGGTTTAGACTTCAACAATGTGCGTGCCCGCATAGCATCTCTTTCAGATGTGTTATTCATTTAATATATTATTAAAATTCTTATTAATATTTTTATCATATGGGACCTTTTAATAGGAAGGGGGGAAACTGCCGGAAAAAATCATTAGGTCAAAATATGTTCAGATTTAGCATTAACTTATTTTTTATTTTTTTCCAGCCGTTTCCCCCTTTTCTATTGCAAAGGTCCCATATACTTCAAAATTTTGTTTAACATGCTTCCGAGGTCTGGAATCGACCATTCTTCCGATGGCTTATTGAAGTAGTCTTCGTAATTTTTTACAAGTCGTAAAAAAAAAAAAATTAATAATAATATAATAAATGGAATATGAATAAAAAATTTAGTTTGGGTTGGATTGGAGATATGATAAAAATTTAGCTGGGTGGGTTTTAGAGATTGAGAGTAAAAAAAAATTGAAGAAAAGTAGAAAAGTTAAAAAAAAAAAAAGGTGGAGGTATATATATAAGATTTTGACGCGTCACGCTGTACAAAAAAGTTTATTATTTTATTGATTAAAATGGTTGACGCGTCAAGTTGTGAAAACCGTTAATTATTAATTATTAACACATATGATACCTTTTTTTATTTGGATTCTGAAATACTTACGGGTCGCAGCTCTATTTGTGAAATTTTGAAAGTGAAGTATTGAAGTTTGCTTATTGTAAGTTTTCAATTTTATCTCGATCCTTTAATTTTAGTTTTATTACGGCTAAATACATTGTCAAATAATATAAATAATGAATAATGGGATAAGCTAATTTAATAATAAAAATATTATAAAGGATATAAACTTGAAAAGAAATATGATCACATTTTGTGAAATTGCTGTAAATGAGGCGCGCTAAAGTTCGGATAGCATATTTGTCTAGTACAAAAACCGAATATCTAATCCGGTTGGAATCGAAAAATCGGGATAAAAGAAATCAGGTTGAAACGGATGTCATAAATCTGGTTTCAAATTTTTTGTCGATTTTGAGGTTTCGATCCTTATATTTAAATCTAATGGAACCGAAGGAACCGGATAAATAAATATTATTATTATTATTTTTTTTTTTGTGAATCAAATGATTAAGCAATGTCAATGTAATTAATCTATTTGTTTGAAATGCACATAGTACGTATTAGATCAAGGGCCTTTTAATTGCATCACTAGTTAATTCGGGGTTGACGACCGCAATCTTTAAACCAAGAAATTAATAGGTTGGTGAGTTGCTGTTCTCTTTATTCACATAGATTTTATAATCATACGATTAGATAAAACAAAATCAAAAAAGAAGAAAAAAGAAAATTACAATTAAAATTTAATAAATATCGTTAACTCCGTTACGTTGTCACAATAGCCTTAGATTTTGATCATCATGTGAAGCTGCATCATCTAAGAAGAAAATTTTTATTAATAGCTTGAAGGTTGATTTTTAATATAGGTGCATAAATTACCTACAAAAAAGATAGCGAGATCAAAGATACTATATCTAAATTTCGCTACTACCTTTCTTTAATTTGCTCTTGAAATTCGTGAAGTATGTTAATGAGCCAATTCAAAAAAATTGCATTAAATACATTTTTGTTGAAATATACTTACTTTTGACTATCAGTTGACTTTCTAGAGAAGAATCAAATATTTCAAACTGAATGTAAATCCATTAAGGATGAAATAGCAATAAATAAATTATCCAATTTTCAATCAAATTCTCAATATCTGCAATGTGAAAAACTTCATCACCCTATTTATGGTTTGATTTATTACACGCATTAATTACTCTATAGAGACGTCTCTAATCTTAATGATTAATGTGAAAATAAACTACGTTGCTCAATATCATTGAAATACATGTATTATTAGTTAGATTAACTTTTGAGTAATGATATTATAGCAGAATCCTTGAATTAAACTTACATTTAAATGTTTCTCTTTCCTGTATAGCTATAAATACAAGAAATAATTTAAAATTATGACAATAATATCAACAGTATTGAAATTTTACCAATGTTTTTGAAAAAAGAACTACAGTCAGACCTCTCTAAATGCACCCTCTATAAATGCACACAATGTTCTGGTCCCAAGCTTAGGACTTAGAGGCTAAATGCACCCTTCAAGTTCTGCACGTGCAAGAAATTTTTCTGTCCTTTGATATGACAATTTGATCTCTAAATGCACGTCACGTGACTATTTTATAAAATAATAGAACCATTGAAAATTTGATGTTTTTTTTTATTTATTAATTTAGTACACATGCAGCTTTTTTTTCAGCTTTGACTCTTTAGCATCATTATAATCTTGCATAACTTAATAATCCTAGATTTCTTCAACCATTGGATCGTTCGGGGGGTGAGTCATGTGAAAAAAAATTTTTAATATTTATTTTTTAAATCAATCAATGTAACTAACAACTAAAATCACTTACCTTTTGTAGCTAC